ATAACGAGTTCCCTGAATACACCACAGTAAGTTCATTGCCAAGTCCATCCACTTGGATTTTAAAAAAAGCCTTTCTTACATTTTTAGGGTTTATATTTTGTTCCAAAGAGAGGCAATCCTTACAGAAATTTCTGCAAGATGCTGTCTAGTCCAGGGGTGAGGGACTCCATCAGCACAGAGCACAATAATGAAGTCTGTATAGTGGCATGGGATGTGCTTTCCGGTCTCACTATTTAATCAAAGCTTTGTCAGGTCATTTTTTCTGCCTTATGCCAAAAAGCAGTACACCTGCATAGCACTTCTTGCCTGTAGCTGTCTCTCAGAGGCACATTATGAAAGTGGCATAGCTGAATGTTCATGGCGCTAACACTGTTTTTTTACGGTCCTCCTAAGGCCTTACTTGTAGCAGTAACATAAAATAAGTTGCACAACAGTACAAGAAAAAATGTAAAGCAGAAAGATGGAGAAAGGCTGAAACACCTATAGTCTCCCCTTTATGCAGCAAAAGATCACTCCCATGCTCATTAGTGACCAAGAAACGTATAACAAATGGAAAAGCCCCCTCCGCACCATTCTTTCTGGTCCCACTGCAAAGCACAGTGACAGTACTGTTGTCTATCAAAACTATATCACAGTCACACAGTAAGTTTAAATCCCTCTGTCATAGAACTTAACGGTTGGTCTCAGTTTACAACAGCAGTTACTCTCTGCTACATTGTATTCTTCAATTCTGTTAAAACTCTGCTTTTTTTTTTTTTCATTTCTCAACAAAACAGAGTTGAAAGGCCAAATGCATACCTTCTAAAGACAGTTTAGAACATTTAAGATGTTGCTCCACTTCTATTTAATTAACACTTGGTTCCAGAACAAATACCCTTCTCCAACTTGTGTATAGCAAGTACAATGGTAAAAATTGAAGGTAAGACTACAGATGGTATTCTGTATCACACTGTAACATTCTTTTGTAACATTCACTTTCCATCCTGTTTTCACTGCTACTACTACACAGAAAAAAAAAAATCTTTCTACTTGCATTGATAAAAGGAGCTGGTAGAAGCTAACACTGAATCATTACTTTTCAATTAACCTAGCCATCCTGCTTTAGCATCTCAGATGCAGCTATCTTCTCTGCCAAAGCCTGCACATATTAATACATTCTCACAAAGGCTATACAAAGCCTCATTTGTAAAACACTAGCAGAGGGAAAACAAGCCAAAAAAAACCCTTTCCAACTTGGAGGAACAGAAATACTTACATAAAAGTGAAACTATGTAAAAGCTCATTTTTGGTTTTCAAGAACAGATTTTCTACTTGACTGAAGACAAGCATCAGATAATTTAACAGAACTTCCACCATTTTCAGAATGCTTAGTCTGAAACAATTACGTGATTACGAACTCCCTAACTTTGGCCTGCCTTCATATGAAAGGAATTCATCTTCCATGTTTCAAGTCTAACTAGAGGCTTTTGAAACCAAAAGATTTTGGAAGATTCCTATTCTCTCTGGGAAGTTTTCAAGATTTCCACACAGTTAGGTCTGAAACCACTCCAGATTGGCACCGATTCCAGAGTCAAGTCCAAATTTTACCAGCACTGAACCTTCACTTCTTTAGGTTTCCATGCTTCTGCAAATACAGAATGAGTATCAACTCATTTCTCTCTTTAAGGATCACATTGCACGTATCAAGTCCGTAGAAATCCACCTATAATTCTCAACTTAATGATATTACTTAAAGCTTTGTATAACCAAAGAACATTAGGATGTTATAATCACAAATTAAACAAGAGAGTTAGGCAAAGCAGAATGTGATAACAAAAGACAATAAATAGAAGGCTTACCCCTATCCTGGGCTCACACACAAAACACCAGCAGAGAAATCTCTTCTCCAGAAGAGATCCTTCCCCTCTGGTAGCCAGCTCTTAAATAGGTCTAGGAGGGGGGCAGCCAGGCTCCACCCCGCTCCAGCAGCTCAGCTGAATTGCCTTCACCTGTGCTCCTCTGGCTGACTCATGGCTCGCCTCAGGTGATCAATCAGAGGTTCAGGTTGTAACTCAGCAGTTCCCATATAAGCTTTAACAGGTGAAGAAAAGCTTCCAACAGATTAAAAAAAATACACTTGCAATGGGAATTCAACCTCCACAAATATACTTAGGGGAGTGTTCTTGCATAAAATAATTTGACCCCATTACAATGCCTTCATGTTTGTTGCACAATGCTCTGCCAAGTCTATTTGGTACTTATTTTCACTGTATAAGGTTATACTTACTAAATATATATATATTTATATTAAATCTCTAGGGTTCCCAGAGAATTCTAAGTAAGCACTGGCACAGGTACCACAAAAAAAACAAACAGACCAAACGAAATTATAACTGAGCTGTGACTTCAAACAATTATTATGTTGTCCCTAATTAATTCTCTGTGCAAAATGCTAGCTAGCTATTCTGACTTGTTCACAACTTTTCACACAGATTTTTCTTCTTTTTCTAAAATTATGTCACATTGAAAATAGGAACAGTTGACACTTTGCTAAACCAGAGAATTTCTGCTCTGGAAACCAAGGAATCTCAGAGTAAAACACTGCAAACAGGAAATGACAACTACATCAACATACATATGACAAAGTAACATCAAATGGGCACTTGAAGTCCAAGATGTCCTTCTCTCACAGGATTTTAGGTAACTCTCAAATTTAAAGAATACCCTTTGCCTCACACTAATCAAATACACTCTGGTCTCAGAGAAATACTGGAATTCATTTAATATATCAAACAGACACTCATTTTTTTTCCTTTGCAGAAGATATCAAATACTTATATTGATAATTAGGGAGTGAGTAGACTAAACAGAATCAAAATCAAGTATCTCAGATAATCAGACAGAAAACATGAAAACATGTAAAAATAGTTCTACAGACTATATTTTTATATTAGGAAGAACAAAGTACTTCAAATGTACTCAAACTAAGCTGACATAAATTGTGATGAAAATCAAGCCAAAGCATAACTTACTGGCAAAGTTCCTGGTAAAGAAGCATCAAAGAATGATACCAAAGAATTAGGAGGTGCTGCAAACTGGACTCGGGAGCCAGAGAAAAGTTTTGAGCTGGAAGTGATCTGTGCATGAATTTCCAGACCCACAACCGGTGCCCATGGAGCAACACTGAAAAGAAAAAAAAAAATAAAAATCAAATGTGGTTAACATACAGATGACATTTAAAAAAAAAAAAAAAAAAACCTAAAAACGGTGTTGCAGTTGTTTTTTTTTTGTTGTTGTGTGGTGTTGGGTTTTTTTTTTCTTTTACAAATATTTGAAATGCCGTTTTAAAGAAATTACAATGTCTAACATAATGTAAAAAAGATTGCAAATGATACTGCAAATCCATCTATAGCACGGTGGCAAAGGTTGTGTTGCAATACTGGAGACCAGGCAATAACTCAAAACATGTAAAGACATGACTGTATGGCAAAGTATGTTGATTATATGCAAAAGAGAATGCTGTAAGAAAGAAAATCTAATGATCTGAAACTTTTGCCTTTGCCTTAGATGAGAAGTCTTACAGAAATTAATGAGGCAAACTTGCATGCTGGATGAACCCTAATTCGGTAACTCTGGAAAATTATGAAATCATCATAAATATCAATTACTTCTCATGTAGTCTGATAAATTTCCAACAGACAGGTGGCATAATAAATTATGTATTCTTTGTCAGCTAGTCACTTGCATGCTGGGAAAGGCAGCTCTCCAGAGCAGTGTTAGTAGCACATTAGCATAAACATTAGAAATCTGGTAATAGAGAAATCATCACTCCAACTAGAGAGCTACTGCTCTCTGAACATACTCTACAGAATCAAGCTTCTCTATATTATCTGGAAAGTAATTGCAATTCTCACATCCGTAACCTTTATATGGATAAGAGAAAAAGGGTCACCTTTACAGTATTAATTGCTTGACAGTGTCTGTAAGCAATTATCTGCCCTTGTACAAATGAAGTGGCACAAATTCGTATTTCAGTGACGAAACAACCTTTCTACACCAAGATAGCTCAGCAACAAAAGTACCCAGATAGCTAGAGCAGATAAGCAAGCTACTGAAAAATATCAAACCGCCAAGGTACAGTGTTCCTTCCACAGGCAAACAGAAAACACCCACAGCATTTCGGTCTGCCTGCCCTCATACAGCCGAGCACAACCCTACAGCATCCCTGCAGCCATGCAGATGCCACCTGTATCTGCTTTAGGGAGATCATAACAAAGGCTTAAGATTCAGAGCTTAAAGCACACAATATTACAATTCCTAACAAACACTTCGTTTTAGGGAAGGGAAGAAAAAAAAAAAAAAAAAAAAAAAAAAAAACTTAAAAGACATAGACCTATTTTTTTCTGGCCAATTTATGTCGGTATCCCGTTTCTTTGCAACACAACCCCACCACTGCACGGCATCTGAAAAATAACCAGAGCGCAGTCAGGCTCCACTCAGTTACAAAGATAAGCAGAGCTCTGGGCCTGCTCACCACAGGCGAGGAACCCAGCGTTCGTTCACGCTGTATTTTTATCTACGTCGTTGAACAACCAACCCGAAGTAGCACATTCCTGCCAGCATCTACGTAACTTTATTTAAGTCATCGGTCGTGGAGAGAAATCCTGAACGCTGACAGAGCACACGAAAGCTTTCACACTCCAGGGAGAAGAAGCCCAGCGCCCCTCCCCGCGCTATCCGAGCACCGTACCCGCTCAGCCCCAACGGCACCGCCCCACCTCCGGCCTTGCACGCGACGGCCCGCCAAGGGCGGGAAACAGAGCAAGACCCCCCGCGGCCGCGCTGCAACGCTCGGCGCCAAACCCCACCGCAGCCTCCCGCCGCCATTTTGCTTTGCAAAACGCTGAGAGGTCACCGCAGCACCCCCTGGGAAATGTAGTCCAGCGCGCAGAATGGCCGCGCGCAGCGGCGGGAAGGAGAACTTCAAATCCCGACAGATCCTTCGCCTTGGCTTCCTACCTAAGCCTGCTGTTGAGGGAGGAACGAGCTGCACGCGCACGCTCCGCCTCATGAGGAGGAGAATGAAAAAGCAGGAGATTCTGATGAGCGAGGCTTTTATCCCTCAGTTCGGCTGACCCGGCGCCTAAATAGCAGGCAGGTGCGAGCCTGGCTCCTGGGCCAATTCTCTCCCTTATTTCTGGACAGGTGGTGCCCTTTGTGCCCGAGCATGTGGTGCTGTCGGTGCGAGACACTGTTTCAGTGCAGTCTGAGGAAGTCTCGAGAGCCTTGAATCCACAGGTCCTTAGCGTAGCTTGAGAAAATTAATGGTCATCCTAGAGGTGCTGGCACAAGAGACACTGGTTACTTTTCTGCCTTTGTCTGAGCTCTTGTTTCAATAAGTCTCTCGCTCAGGGTCTCCCAAGGGTTACATATTCTTTTGTTTTGGTGTCTGATACAAAACCAGCTGATGTTTTATGAGTGGTGTTTTGCAAATCTTGGGCATCAGACATCACCTGCTGTTGCCTGACATGTTGCTCGTATGGTGCCATTTGGTTGCAGTCTTGTATGCAGAGCAGTGGGATCTCATCCCTTCCAGGAGTGAGGATGTTACTGCCTCACAAAATGTGGCAATAAAGATCACCGTCCAGGGCGTATGCTAGCATTCTAGATGCTGTTTATGCAGCTACATCTAGCAGATGATAGAATTAATAACCTTCTGTCCTAAACCACAGGCCTGTGGAGCTTAAATGGAAATGTACATTAGCTGTTGCTTGCGTCGTGTTTGCTCTATGTCAGATGCTGCTAATAGAAGCTAATCTGTCATGAACATATGAGTAGGACTGATTTCTTCCAGCAGAGGACAGTGATGCACATAAGCACTTGACATTATCTTGCACACTTCATAACCTCTCCTCTTCATAATGACTCTTCTCAAGCTTGAATGTGAGATGCTAAGGGGTTCAGAATAATGTGGAATATATAATTTATCCAACTAAAAAAACGTTTTGTAACAGTTGTTCCATGTTCATTTTCTAAAATATTCATATTTTAAATGAGTAGAATTAGCAAAAGGTTCTTTTACGAGAACAAGTTGGGAGACACCTTCAGCAGATGCAAATCTGCAGTTACTTGCACAGTATAGTTCAGGAATTTCAATTTGTTGCTTTTCCTTGGTGAAAATTCTTCATCAATCTCAAAGTCTGACCAAGACAAAATTCCTTTGCTGTAAAAAAAAAACAACTGGCCCCAGGTGGTCTTGGACACATTCTGAAGAATGAAAGAAGATTGGTGTGCTTCTTTTCCTTATCTCTTATTGTGGAGCTCCCTGCATGTGAGACACCCTAACATTATCCCTACGCAGCGGTCTTTAAGCCAAGAGAATGGGTAAGATTTTTTAATAATTTTGATGCAAGGACAACCTTGTTGTCTTTTAGACTTAGCCCTATGCTTATGCAACGTGTTGTGAATAAGACGATTTCAGATTGAAGCCTTATTATGTGATTGTTATTTATGCAACAACAAATGCGTTCTTCAACAATTGTCCTCCATGAACTCTGCATTTAATAATTATTTGAAATTTTGAAGGCACTGGCAGACTGCTTCAGCTCACCAATGAGTTTGTACTAGTGGAAAAAACTGTTAGTTTTGGATTATTTTACTTTCTTTAAGCCTGTTATCTTGATGTACTAGAAGATTTCATAAATGAGTTAAAACCTTATGTATATTAAAATTATTTACTTGAAGCCTTACTCTGCTCTGATTGCAGAGATTTCTACCCTTTAAAAGGCAGTAGAATGCACAAGGTTGAAATGTGCTTCCCACATCCCAAATTGTTCTGGAACTTTTAACTGCATGGCTGTTTTCTTTCTTGAAGAAAATTGTGAAGTGTCATTGTTTGTGATTTAAATTGCCTCCGTGCTATTTTAATACCCTACCTAGAAAAAAAATCCATTAAAAATCCCTTTTCCTTCAAAGCCCTATGCCACTGATAAAGCAAGTCACAAATGAAAGCTCACGCATTCTTATATGGAAAGTTGATCAATCACAAACAGGTAATAATTGCCTTTCCCAGCAGCTTACTTTGAGTTTGAAAGTATTTCTTTCTTTGAGTTTGAAAAATTTGTTCCTTATGTACCCTGAGCTGCAGCTTCTAATTAGCATGAGTGTTTAGAGATCATGCTGTGGCACTGCATAAAGATTTGTACAAGGACAGTTCAGTACCGTGTAGGTCCAGGGGACACTTTGCTCTGAGTCTGAATTTCTTATTACTGTATAAATTTAACCAATGCCTGAGAAGAAATTGGAATTTTGTAGAGGAAAAAACTCAACAGCTTATCATTTAAGACATAAACATACAGTCTGTCCCACTTATTTGAAAGAAGATCTCTGAATTTCAGTTTACAGGGTCTGAACTCTAAGTACTGCGTTCTTGCAAGCCATATTTAACATGCATGCTTGATCCTTTTGCAGATTGTGAGATCTCCTTTGAGGATAGCAGGGAATGGAATATTCAGTCTCGAGTTTGTTAAATACTCCACAGGCTGCCTGCTGTGTTTTATTTCAGCACACGAAATAAGCAACAGGCAGAAACATTTTAGATTTTGAAGTAGGGGGCATGCCTTTTGGGGGGGTATATCTGTAATCTGCCATATAACCAGACATTGTCTTACGGGGAACAGTAAGAAAAAAGATTGTTGAGTTTGGGAGCAAGTGTGGCGAGGGATGGTTTCAAACTGTTAAGCCATTAACATCACCTGTGTTCCTTGGATTTTTTTTGGCAGCTGTTAACTAATCATGTCAGTGATTTTCAGTCAGAACTTTTGGTTCACTTTTTTCATCTACAAATAGCAGGGGATGCTAAATTAAAAAAAAAAAAAAACCAACAAAAAACACAGATAGGAAAAGGGTATTTCTGTTGAATGTGGGAGCCACTGTTCAAGGAGCCAATGCAACTGCTTTGCCTGGTCTAATGACCATGCACATGCATGCATGCATTTTGTGATATATATGATACAAAGGAACTCAGGTTTTGAGGGGCCTTTAGTCAAAGCATGCTTTGAAAGTCTTTGAAGTCTGCTAATAAAAATTGATGTTAAATAGGGTGATTTTATAGAAGTATCAGTACTTGTAAGTTAAAAATAACATTTAGATATGTTTAGATATGTTTACACAATTTCTTATACAGTTATAGAAGTAAAAAAAAAAACAAACAACATGGAAGATGTTAACAGCAGAAGGTAAATTCATTATTCTTTAGAGGCTTATGTTAAGAAACAAAATATTTATACAAATATATGTATATCTTTGGTTCAGTGATCAGAAGTTGTTATATTATAGCTCCCTTGTACTGATTTTCACTTCATTTGTCTTGCCTGCGAGTGCTGCAATGAGCAATTGGCTGCACCTGTGGTTTGAATCAGATGTTGGCAATCAGGTAATCAGTGCTTTGGTACATAAAGTGATCCCTGCAGATGAGAACTGGGAGTTGGTTTTAGGTTGTTCTTGTTGTTCAGAAGCTTTGCGGCTAATGTCCTTAGAGTAAGGAAAGCGGTTGTCTTTGGGTGTTCTGTTTTACTGACTGTGTTTTGTGGTGAGTACTGCTGATAATTCTATTGTGGTTTTTTTTTTTTTTTTTTTATAATTAATTTATATTTTTGAAATTGTTGTTTTTTGTTTTTAATAAAGTTAAGCTTTCTTCTTTTGTTTTTTTATTTTGTTTTTTTTTTTTTTTTTTTTTTTCCTAGTGTTTCTCTGCTGGACTGGTTTTTCTTGATGAAGTTTTTAGGAATTTATGTTACGCGTCTGTGGTACTTTTATTATGGTTTCCAGTAGCTGGGCATTTATTTTCTTTAGTTAGAAACATATGGCTTTTTTGTCAGGTGATTACATGTTTTGGCTTGGGTGTTTTACAATGCACAGCATATTTTATACGTTTGTGTTGTAATCTAGGAATTATATTGGTCTTATATTGGGTATAGTTCTGTTAATAAAGAATATTTTATTGCTGGTAATTTTGTGGGTTTTTTTCTTTTTTTATACTGTGTCTTTAATGTAGGGGGAACTGTAATTAGAAACAGTTGAGCCTGGGCTAAAGTGTTCAACTGGAAGTTCATAATTGTATTGCATATATTTTTATGTACTGTCTGGGATGGGGATTATAAAAGAAAACTATATTGAAGTTGGTCTTCACCCAACTAGCATGTTGTTAACCATTTAGCATCTACTTGTAAGTGCAAGCCTTTTAAAAATATTTCCTAAAACTTTGTTTTCATTCTGTCCTTCTTTACTTTCACTGAGTAGAGAAAAAGCATACAGATGTAAAAAGCAAACTTATTTGTGTTCCATTATTTTTTTCCCACTGTATTGTGTATTCTGTTACTTTTCTGTTTGCATTTTTCAACTTAATGTTTTAGAGTAAACTGTTATAAGTGAAGCCTGTTACTTCCCAAACTAGGTGCAATAACTTGTTTCAGACTATGTGTGACTGTCTGTGTAAGGTTGGAGGTATGTGGTTTTACATAACCAGTACTAGAACAACTACTTCCTTCCTTAACCTTGGAATGAGGAAAGAAGTTCAATCCTACTGTACCAAGCCCAAGGCTAAGTCCTGACCCATTGTTTCTGAAGGTAGCCTGACAGTCTTGCAGCTTGTTAGAAGTATTTACTTTTAGGCGAGCTATAGCTTCCAAAATGCGTTTTAGATGTGTGTTCTGGTATCCTTTTAAGTTAGTCATGGCTTCAGTTTCAAGTACTCATTTGTAGGATCCCAGCTGACAGCCCCACCCCAAGAAAAAGTAGACGGAATGATCTATGTTAAGTTAGTTAAAGAACAAAGATTTCACTCCAACAGTCAAATGAGGAATGGGTGTTTAAGTGTTTTCACTGCCTAAGAAATAATATTAATAGTCAACAACACCTGCAGTTGCTATTGACTTTCTCTTTATTGAGAGAAGGGAAATAACTGTTTGAAAGAGAACTGAATGCTTGGAGAAGCCAGTTATAATTTAAGACTTGTGTCGTTGTTATTTTTTAATCAGAAAATGGAAGGGTGACCTCAAATATTGCTTTTCAGAGAAAGGCTGCTTTAAAATGCAAGATTATTTGTAAATTGAAGCCAACTGGATGAGCTTGTACTAAAAAATAAAATGATCTCCCAGA